TGCCTTCAATACCATGATCCCCCAAACCCTGATGGACAAACTATTCACACTAGGACTAAGCCCCTCCATTTGCAACTGGGTCCTAGACATCTTAACAAACAGACCACAGTTAGTGAGGATTCACAACTTCTCCTGCTCCATCATAACCCTCAGCACTGGCTCTCCTCAGGGCTGTGTCCTTAACCTTTTCCTGTTCACTCTGCTCACGTATGATTGTGCAGCTACCCATCCAGGCTGTCACTTTGTAAAGTTTGCAGATGATACAGTGGTGGTGGGATGCATCACAAACAATGATGAGTCCAGCTACAGGCAGGAGGTGGTACACCTGGAGAGCTGGTGCAAAGAGAATAACCTTCACATCAATGTGAAAAAGACAAAGGAGATGATTGTGGACTTCAGAAGGAACAAACACACCTACACCCCCCTGAAAATAAGAGGATCTGCAGTGGAAGTGGTCTTCAGATACAAGTACTTGGGTGTGCACTTGAATAACAACCTCAGTTGGGGCAACAACACCACCAGCCTGATCAAGAAAGCTCATCAGAGACTCTACTTCCTCAGGCGGCTGAGACGAGCTGGTCTGTAAAGCTCAGTCCTCACCTCCTTCTACAGGTGTGCAGTGGAGAGCATCATGTGCTCCAGCATCAACATGTGTCATGGAGGCTGCACAGCTGCAGAAAGAAAAGCTTTGCAGAGGGTGGTGAAGGCTGTACAGAAGATGTTGGAGTCAGCCTCCCCACCATCACAGACATCTACACCTCCAGATGCAGGAAGAGGGCCACCTGCATCATGAAGGACCCCACTCACCCAGCACACACACCTTTTGCCCCGTTCCCCTCAGGAAGAAGGTTAAGGAGCATCAGGTGTAGAACCGCTAGACTGAGGAACAGGTTCTACCCAGAGGTTGTTAGACTCAAGAATCTCTAATCAGGATAATCACTGTGAAAAATCAGATCATGTTGCTGCTGATCTGTTTCATGTCATTTGTACTCTGCTCACACAGACTCATTCGTATTGTTTTTATGCTATCAGTGCTTAGCACATTTTTAGTTAATGTTTTTCTTAGTTCATATCTTAGATCTTAATACTGTTTTTCTTTTACATTTTATTGTTGGATGTAACTGGGACCCTGTGTACACAATTTTGTTCCACCACATGTACCACATGGGTTGCGAAGGACAAATAAAGAAACTCTGACTCTCTAACTCTCACTCTGACTCTCTGTTCAGGTAGGAGAGAGGGGTGGGTTTATCCCGAATCAGGCTTTTGTTTTTTTGTTTCTTTTATCAGAAACAATTGTGATATTTTGTATGGTGATTATTTCTTGCTGTTCAACTATGATCAGCGTTAAGGATGTTAGCCACTCTAGTCGCTGCCCAGTAATTTGTGTAAGCTGGAATGTGAAATCCCTTAATAGTCCAATAAAATTCTGGAAAAGTATGTCACACTTGAAGAAGATGAATACTGATATTGCTTTTTTACAGGAGACCCATGTGCGTTCTGCAACCAGTGGAAAGTTTGTTAAAAAAATGGTCTGGTTAGGTGTTTCAATCCAATTTTCAATCCAAATCAAGAGTGGTAGCTATCATAGTTGTCATGCAGGTACAATTTACAGCCTTAAGTGTGCATGCTGATACTGCCGGATGGTTTGTTATTCTGGTGGGGAAGTTATACACACTGCTAGTGATCTTGGTTTCGGTATATGCTCCAAACTGGGATGACTCTACATTTTTTATAACCTCTTCTTAAACAGATGAATATGTCAACACATAACCTTATAATACATTAAACTTATAACCATAAGCATAACCTTGTAACTGATGGTAACACAAATTGTGTGCTTTCATCTCTTGACAGTAGTTTGACGGGGTAAAAACTACTCTGACTAACTCAGCTCAATCAGTTCATTCCTTGAGTCTTATGGCGTGACTGATGTGTGGCTCTTCCATAATTCTACTTCAAGATCATACTCATTTTTCATTCATTTTTTCACAAGACATACTTGCAAACTGACTTTTTTCTTGATAAACAAACTCTATCTTTGGTGAAAGAATGTGTGGGGCCATGGTCATCTCAGACCTTGGTCCACTTATTATGAAACTGCTTATCATGGTCACAAATTCTGTATATTGTTCTTGGACATGGCAGCATGGTGGCACAACTGGTAGAGCTGCTGCCTCTCAGAGAGCAGGTCCTTGAGGTATGAGACAGGGGTGCCCGCTCTCACCATTTCTATTTGCATTAGCAACAGAACCACTAGCTGTAGCTTTACGGCAAAAATCCATCATTAAGGGGATGAATCGAACTAGTGATGTGTGGATCGATACTAAAATATCTATACTATCGATATCAAAACTTTAAACTCTAGGACCGATTCTTAAATCAAACTACTGATACTTTTGATACTTCAGTCATTTCAGATAAAGTATATAATTAACAGGAAGATGGTGGAAAGTAACCTAACTATTGAGATCTTGTCTAAATGATACGGGGTTGGTGGGAAATACTTGTCTGCCTGGGTAAGTGTGTAATGCGTGTAAGTTGAGTGGCACGCTGGCTGTCAGTCACTTAGTCTCTCAGTCTGTAGACACAACAGCAGAGCATAATGGAGTCATGTGTGGAGATACTTCAGCTCCAAAAACAGCCAAGAAGCAGTTTGTGAGGTTTGTGGAAAATCTGTAAAGAGCTGTAGCAACACAAAAAACTTTGTAAAACACTTTCAGTTAAATCACAACACAGAATATGAGGCATTGATGAGGCAGACAGAGTCAGGTGCTGCTGCTACTGCAGGGTGAGACAGGCTCTAGAGGAGTCCTTCAGTGCTGCAGGACTATCCAGGTGCAGAGGGAGGAAATGTGGAGCTACGAGCTGTGCTAAGAACTGCTGCAGTTGAAGTTGTTCAATTTAATACATATGCTTATGAAATAATTAACAAAATAAATTTGTTCTTCAACAAATAGTTGAATGGGTTCAGTTTGGGGTAACAATATGTGTATCACTGAGATAATCTCACATGGGCAGAAAAGATTTATTCAGGGAAGGTTTCATAAAGAACTGATAATTTAAAGTGGATTACATAGACTAGGTGTCATCAAATTATACAGCGCAATGGTGATAAAACAGCCTTGGTGAACTCTGAAAAATATATACTAGAAAATATGGATTAAAAAAACACCTCTTATCTATTATTATTTAATAAATATTTTATAATTTATTTTAATAGTTTATTATTTCTTATTTTTAGTGTTTGAAACACCATTTTCACATATTTTGTATAATTGTGTCCTCTTATTTTCTGTTGTTGGATAAGCTTAGCACAGCTCGAAGCTGTGTTAGTATTTTTGTTGATTTAAAGAAAGCATTCAACATTATTGACCACATTATTCTCCTTGAAAAATTGAATAAATATGGTATTAGAGCACTTGCATCACAGTGGGTATCTAGCTATTTGAAAGATAGGAAACAATTTGTACAAATTAATGATGTAAGATCTGACCTCTGTAATATCACATGTGGAGTTCCTCAAGGTCCTGTACTTGGACCAAAGATATTTATTTTATATGTGAATGACTTGGTAAATGTGTCAGGACACCTGAAATGTGTCCTATTTGCAGATGATACCACATTTTTTGTTTGGGTAAAGATATAGAACGGATGTTGGAGTTGATACAAAAAAAAATTGTAAAAATACAAACTTGGTTTAAACTTAATAAATAATCATTAAACTTAGATAAAACTAATTATATGATATTCAGTAATAAAAAGAGAACTATTGATGTTCCATTTAAAATCGAGGTTGTTGAGATTTGTAAAGTTAGTGAGGTGAAGTTTTGGGGTGTTGCCATTGATAAAAAACTGACATAGAAACAGCACATAAAATATGTAAGAATAAAAATAGCTAAATCTGTTGCAGTACTGAAAAAAAAAATAAGGGAGGTATTAAATGATAAAGCTCTGTATATGTTGTATAACGTAATAATTGTTCCACACTTAATCTATTGTATTGATGTTTGGGGGAAAGCGTGTAAAACATTTACAAATCCTATTTTTGTTTTACAAAAAAAGAGCTGTAAGAATTATCACTAGAAAGCATTACAGTCACCCATCAAGTACTTTATTTTATGAACTCAATTTATTGAAATTCCATGATCTGGTAGATTATAGTGTTTTATCAGTTATGTATAGGGCTCATAATAACATATTATCTTTAAATATTGAAATACATTTTGTTAAAAGAGAAAGTTGTTATAATCTTAAGGGGATAGAGATATTTGTCAAACTGAAATTCAGAACCAGTCTGAAGGGAAGGTCTACCTCAATCCAAGGAATAGGATTATGAAATGGTCTAGAGAGTGATGTTGAAAATGACAAGTCAATGTGTACATTTAAGAAAAAGATCAAAGCTGAATTGTTAAAAAAATGAAGTAGCTTAATATGTATTGTATAAATAGTCGTTCAAGAAGGAGTTATTTATTTTGTTTTTTTTACTTTAACATTATTATTGTTTGAATTAATTGTTTGGAAAAAAAAGGCAGACATAATAAGATTTATTTTCTTCCTTCTGCTGCCTTTCATTTTTATTTTTGATTGTATTTTTTATTGTTTATGGAATTCTTTTGTTTTCTTTTAAAAAAATGAATAAATTTATTAAAAAAATAAAATAAATTTAAAAAAAGCTCAGCTCTATTGTAAATGAGGCCACTACCTCAATATACCCCTGAGTTTAAAATAAATCTATTGATGTCTTGCATTCTTATTGCAAATTTGATTTTAAACATACTGCTTTATTTTAGGTTTACCTGACACATTAAGCGTATTTACAAGAAGTACTAGTATCGGTATCGCAGATACTAACATGAACTTTACCTAGTATCAGTATCGGACCAGAAATCCTGATATCGAACAACACTACTGCTAACACTGTAGAAACTCACACACCTTTCCAACTAAACTGACAACAGATTATGTCCACATATGTATGTGTCTTCATGCTGGGGTACCTGTGTTGTTCCGGCATGTTCTGGCCAGAGTGTAGGTGCAGGTTCCCATAAAGCTGTAAAACTTCTTGTCGAATGTGTTGTAGTGAGGATCTCCAGAGACCACGCAGTCCTGAGAACCTGAGAGAACAATGACTGAGTTTAAATCTGAAACAAAATTATGCTTCTACATTTACTACACCTTGCTCAGACATAATGTGACACCCACTGAGAGCCATTAGCTCATAGTTTTAGGACACATACAGTAAGTTCAAAAACAGAAGCTGGAACACGGTAATTCCTAACTGATTGTCACAAATACAAACAACTAAACATGAACACCTTCTGACCCCCGAGCCAAATCAAAAACATCTTGAACTGTGAGCGATGTTGTCTCAGTAAAGACAAATTATGAGTTTTTTTGGGGGGAGGGGGGTTGACTTGTTGTGTTACCAGTGTGGTTTCTGTATTTATTGTGGTAGTTGCATGTTTGGCTGTGTTTAGTGTTAACATTATGTTTTTGTCTTGGCTTTTCACTGAGGACACCAACACCACGTTTTATATTACAGTTGTTTTACCTGTTTACAGCTGTTTTACCTGTTAACACCTGTTTTACCTGTTTACACCTGTTTTATCTGTTTACATCTGTTTTATCTGTTTACACCTGTTTTATCTGTTTACACCTGTTTAAATATTTAACCTGTTTAACCTATTTAACCTACTTACAGGTAAAACTGTTTTAATTGTTTACACCTGTTTAGAATAGAAAA